GCTCGGTCCTGGAGGGCCTGTGTCCTGCAGAGTTTAGCTCCAACTTCTTCTTGAAGTTTTATTGGCGGTTGACAAACAACAAAATGATGTATTTCCGCCACCAACTGGTATGGAGTGTGGATCAAAAAAAAAAAAAAGTGACTTACTTCCCCCTTTATTTTTTTTAATTCTCTCCCACAAATTAGTTATTTTAAGGAACTGAAAAATAAAACCATAGCATTCATTCCTTGAGTTATTTTGTAAAATATGTCTGTGTAAATTGCATTTTTATTTTTTCTAAATTTTGCACTCGAATCCTTCTTTCAGTCTCATATTTCTGACAGTACAATATAACATGTTCCACGGTTTCTTCTGGTCCACAAAATTCACACCTTCCCGTATCATGTTTACCCATTTGAAAAAAAGTGTAATATTTAATCTTGTGTCCACATCTCATCTCTCCTGTCTTTCTCTGCACTTCTCATCTCTCCCACTTTCCTTTGAATTCTGTAAAACCACCAACCTTTTTTCTCCTTATCCCATTGTTTTTGCCACCTTTCCTTCAGTCTTTTCTTAATAATACTCTTGATTTCATTCTTACTTAGATTAACAATTACGGTAATGTCGTTGTTTTTGAACTGCTTCTTTATCTACGGTTTCGTTTCCTTGGATACCAATATGCGCCGGCACCCATACAAATACCACTGTAATCCCCATCATTTGAATTCTATATAACGTTTGCATTATTTCCATTAAAATGTCTGGTCTACTTTCCGAGTGACTGTACTGTAAACTAGCCAATGATGAACATGAATCTGAACAAATAATTGATTTGACTTATCTCTTCCATCCACTGCATTGCTAATAATAGTGCAATCATTTCCCCTGTATAAACCGATAACTCCTCACCGATCATTTTCCTTACTGATAAATGAAGTTCTGGAACAGTAAACGCTACTTCTACTAACTTATTGTCTAAACTCTTTGATGCATCTGTGTAGATCTGAACATAGCTGTAGTACTCGTTAATATATGTCTGCACATTATATAAATTACATTCCTTACCCTTATTTTTCTGTTCTAACAATGTAAAATCTACTGTAGCATCTGAAAGTAACCAAGGTTTTATTACAGGTAGCGGTACAGTTGGACTAACATTTAACTGATTAACTTCAAGTTCTGTTGCTTTCTGTATCACTGTCCATCCAAAACTTTAAAATTTTCCTCCTCTCTATACATGGCCTTTAATGCCATCCTATCTGGCCCCCATTCACTTCCAACTAAACTCCTCATTGTATTTATTATTTTCTTACATTTGTTCACTATATTCTGAATATGCACTGCCCATGTAACTCTTTCATCAAACCATATCCCTAAAAACTTAAAATGTTTCACTCTTTCCAGTTCTTGATTAGTTTTACCTCACTTCCCATTTTTTTCCTTGTAAAAAACATTGTCTTTGTTTTGTCAACTGAGAATTTAAAACCCCATTTATATGACCATACTTCAACTATTGCAATAGCCTCCTGTAATTTTTTTAACAATAAAGTCAATATTCCTTCCCCTTTTCCAGGTTGCCCCATCATCAGCAAAGAGCAAAAACCCCAGCCCATTATCCAAATACATCATTTATCATTATGGAAAACAATAAAGGGCTCACTATACTTCCTTGTGGAGTTCCATTTTCGATCACAAACTTTTCTGAATAACTATTTCCTATTTTCACTTTTATTGCTCTTCCTGATAAAAAAATCCTTGATCCATCTATACATTTGACCTTTGATACCTAACTTCCATAATTTGATTAACATCCCTTCTCTCCACATCATGTCGTATGTTTTCTCTATGTCAAAGAAGACAGCCACTACACTCTCTCTATTTATTTATGCTTTTCTTATTTCGTGTTCCAAACACACAGCCGGATCCATTGTATTTCTCCCTCTCCTACAACCACTCTGATATTTGGATACAAATTTATAATTTTCCACATGATACATTAACCTTTCATTCACCATTTTTTCCGTTATCTTACCAATATTAGATGTCAATAAGTCTATAATTTCCTGGATTTGTACTATCTTGCAGGTTTACGTATTGGAACTATCACCGCCTCCTTCCAACTTTGTGGTAATGTTCCTTCCTCTCAAATTTTATTGTACATTTTTAATAAAACATCCTTGGATAATTCACTGAGATTACTTATTAAATAGCAAATCTGATCCATACCTGAAGCTGATTTCCTGGTTTTTCCTAAGAGATCGATTTAACTCGGACTTCGTAAATGTCATATTTAGTTGATCATTATTGTATTCCTCACACTGTATTATCTCTTTATACTGCTCCAATGTCCTTTCCCTTCCTCTTTTTCCCTCCTCAATAATATTGTCTGATTTATGTATTTTAACAATTTTTCGCCAACATTTCTGCTTTCTCTTCATCTTTTACAGCTGTTGTATCTCCATCCCTTAAAATTGGATACCCAAACTCTCTTTTTATCCCATTCATTCTTTTTATCATTCCCCATACTTGACCTATTTCGGTTTCCCTTCCCACTGTGTTACAAAACTTCCTCCAAAACTCTTTTTTTGTATATTTGATGATTCTCCTTACATTTGCTTGCTTCCTTTTATATTAAATAAAATTCTGAAAACTATGATTATTTTTTAACATTTTAAAAGCTTTATTTCAAGATTTAATTGCTTGATCACATTCTTTTGTCCACCATGGTACAATCTTTTTTTTCTGACCTCCCTTCTTTGGAATAGTCCGACTTGCTGCTAACAATATAGCATTACAAATATCATTATTAACCTTATCAACCTCTTCTTTAACTTCAATTTTTTCCATTTCTTGCTCACTAATACTCCTAAATGCCTCCCAATCTGCATTTTCAAAAAACCATTTGTCTATTGTATTACATTCTTCTATACATAGTTACTTTAATCACTATAGGATAATGATCACTCCCTATAGTCGTTTCTCTAAACCTTTTATTGATATTTTCCCAAGATGGTGTTTATACCCAAAAAATTCTCAGCTCCCTTCACAATTATTTTAATTTTCTCTGTTTTGTGTCTGACTTGGTCCGTACAATTAATTACATAAGCAATGAACAAAATCAACCTATCTACTGTCAGTTTTGTGCTGCTTTCCACTGCTTGACCAACCTCTTGTCTCGAGATGTTCTCATCTTTGTCAGTATCATCACTTCTCCTTTGCTCTTGGACCTTCTTCACTGCCTCTGCATAACTTGTTGTTTACCACTTTCACTGGTTCAATTTCCACAGCTCTCTTCCTTACATTACATCCATTGTATGTTACCCTATGTTGCCTCCACCCCCCCTCCCCTCCCCTCATAATTTTCAATTCTATGATCACCTCCACACTTGGGGCATCTTTGTTTTTGCACACCGCTGCTATATGTCCATATCTCTGACATCTATAACAGCGGAGTGAGGGAGGAATATATGGGCGCACTGCAAAGCTCATATATCCAATTTTGACTCTTTCTGGAAGCACTGAATCCTGAAACTCCAAAAGAATTGATAAACTATCAACCCTTTCCCCATTCATTGTTTTTTGCAACCTTTTTATTGTACTCACTTCACCTCCAGAAATACATTGTTTGAGCCTTTCTAGATCTTCTTTGATTGGAATGCCTGTTATCACTCCCGGTTTCATTCGTCTCTCACCCAACATCCTCCTTTCATTCACTTTTTTCTTGCAAATATGATCAATTTTTAGTGCTTTGTTTTTTTGTTCTTCTGTTTTACATATTACTAACGGACTTCCATCTCTCAAAATCTTAGCCGTATCCACTTCTCCTAACTTTTTCTTCAACTCTCTAGACAATGCTATTGGACTTAGATTAACCTGTTCATCTTCCTTTCTGAATTTAAGAATTACTTTATATTCCTCTCTTACAATCTTTTTATGTACAACCCTATTATCTTCATCTGAGCTGTTTCCTTCTAATCCCCTTTTACTGGTTTGGCTATCTACCTAACTCCCTTCATTTCACCCACTCTTTCTCTTTTCTTGTCCTTTCCTACTACATATTAAATTCGAGTCATCTGACTCCATTTCATCTTCATCGATTACCCCAGAAATCATCTTAATCCAGTCACAAACCAGTTTATGTCAATCGCCGTAGACTCCAAACACGATGCGCACAGCAGCTCCACCGCCACGACACCTTACGGAAACCACCAACCTTAGCTCCAACTTGCCTCAACACACCTGCCTTCAAGTTTCTAGTATGCCTTGTAAGAGCTTGATTAGCTGGTTCAGGTGTGTTTAATTGGGGTTGGAGCTAAACTCTTCAGGACACCGGCCCTCCAGGACCGAGTTTGGGCACCCCTGGTTTAGACTGTGTTTGGGGGTAAGGTTTTGCTTACATTGTGGGAACCTAAATGTCCCCTCAAGAGAAGCAAAAACTAAAATCAACTGCCTATGACCAGCTGATCATCGTGAGGAAACAGCTTAATATACATGCAAATTATGTCTTAATGAAACTATAAAGATAAGCTACTAGAGGTTTGTGGAGGATTAGGTTTAGATATAGGGGATAAAGAATTTCATGAGGTCAGTATACAGTAAAAGCAGTGGGCATCACCGTGATACAACAACAGTCTGTGTGTGTGGGAAACATCTGTACTGAAAGTCTAGGTCAGTGGTTATCAAACCTCTCCATGAAGTACCCCCAGCACTGCACATTTTGTATGTCTCCCTATATCTTACACACCCACTTCAGGTCTTGCAGTCTCCACTAATGAGCTAATGAGTTGAATCAGGTGTGATAGATGAGGGAGACATACAAAATGTGCAGGGCTGCATGGGGGTACTCCAGGACAGGTTTGAGAACCACTGGTCTAGGTAAATGTATTACTAAGCATCTACTAAATGACAGTTATTTCACAATTCACATGACAAATTAACCAAGTTATTGTCAGATATCAGATAAAATGTCAGATGAAATGACATGAAAAAGCATGCATTTTAGAATTAAAAAATAGTTGCTTCTAAAAACAATGAGTTGCTTTTGTGCAAATAAAATCAAGTCAATAAAATTATTATTTTTTAATACATGACTAAAAATTATCTTGATTTCTGACTATATATTTAATATATATGTTAGTATATACTAGACTATATATTTAGATGTCTTAACATACATCTTCACTCTAGATCAAAATTAAGAGAAATTAAAATAAATAGCAATTTTCTCTTTAAAAACATATGCAAATATCTTCCAACACCATTTTGGAGCCATTATTATCATAAATAGTCCTCAATAAAATTATTAATAGAGATGGTGTCAAGTAGTTTATGAGAAATAAATAGATAGATGGTTGTTTAACAGGAAGAGTAGCCTATCTAACATCTCAGAATATAATGATGTCAGA